GGGGCACAGAATTACATGGTTATGAAGGATATGTGGTTTTGAAGAAGTTCCGTGGTTATGAAGCTTTAAACTACTAAAGGTACCAGGGTGGGAACCTTAAGCAGAGATTCTAGTGTGGATTATACACAGTGAGTGAGGATAGTAGCAAAGGAGGCAAAAATGGGAGTCAAACTACTGGTCTTAATTATTATTAACAAGCAGCTATTAGAAAGTTTTAAGTAAAGGCATGCCATTGCCTAGTTTGAGATTTTAAAAGAAGCAACTCTGTGATGAGAACAAATACTATGAGGGGACAAGATTGGAACCAGTAGTATAGTTCAGATGAGGGATTTTGGTGGTAGAAGATGGGCTTGATCAGATTTTAGACAGCCAGAAGGTGAAGATGAAAGGATTTGCTGATGGATCAGATGTGGGATGTGGAAGGAAGAGAGGATGACTCCTCTGTGTTTGGCCTGAGAAGTTAGAGGGATGGAGTTGTTGAGTAGTTGTCATTTAAAAGTGGGAAGAAAAAGGAAAAGTGGGAAGGAGGAGGAGAGAATTGGGATTGGAAGAGTGGCCTCTGTAGAGTTGATTGAGACAGTAAAGTGTTTACTTGACTTGGTGTCTGGAATTTAAGTTGATAGAAATTTAGGAATCTTTAGTGTACAGATGGCTTTTACAGGAGTGTAGTTGCTGAGTTCTGAGACACACTTAGAGCAGTAGTTCTCAGCCTGTGCGTCATGACCCTTTTGGGGGTAGCATATCAGATATTTTGAATATCACATCTTTACATTGCAGTTTGTATCTGTAGTAAAATTATACTTATGAAGTGGCAGCAAAATAATTTTATGGTTGTGGTTTACCAAACGTGGAACTGTATTGAAGGGTCACAGCACTAGGAAAGTTGAGAACAACTGATTTGGAAGTTTAAGAGATAAGAAGACAGTGGAGTAATTTATAAAGTTGGGGCAGAATAGAGTGACTGATATCTTGGTTGGAAGGAGCCAAGGGGAGTAAAGTGGGACAAGTAAGGAACAGTCCATGTGTTACCTTTTGCTGAAATGTCAGCTAAGAGATTAAACCATTTACAGCACTGAACATGATGTAAGTTCATGTTCCTTGGGGACCATGACCAGACCTGTTTTCAGAAGTACCGTGGTTACAAGTTGAATGGTGGGGATTTTTGAGGAACATGAAAGGAGAAAAAGAGCTAAGAGGGTTGGATTTAACAAGGTCTACTATTTTGTTAGGTGAGGAAAGGAATTACTGATATGAATTTCAAATGATTGATTTTAAAAATTGAATTATATAAGGATAGAAGTGAGGTTATGAAGAGGGAGGAAGAGGGTCTGGAGAGATGGCTCAGTGGTTAAGAGCACTGTCTGTTCTTCCAAAGGACTCAGGTTCAATTCCCAGCACCCACATGGCAGCTCACAACTGTTGGTAGTGCCAATTCCAAGGGATCTGACACCTTTACACTAATGCACATAAAATTAAATAAATTGAAAAAAAGGGAGGAAGAACTGTGAAAAAATGGTAGCCATGTTAAAGTCCTGTCCTGATGGAGAGTAGTTATCTAAAATAGGAAAGAAAATGAGATCTATAGAGGATAGGAGTATAAAGTAACAGGCCAGACTTTTAGAAGGGTTATCTTTGTGGTTTTAAAATTCTAAGATTGATGACAAGAATAGAGCTCAATATGTATCAGTGGATCACTAAATATTATTGTGGTGCAGGGAGAAGATGTTTCAGAGAATTTATCTGACTGTTATTTGTACTGATGCAGGAAGGGTCAGAAGTTCAATGAAGGCACTAGGGGTGATTGCTCTCTACGTGGATGAATAGAATAGTGACAAGTTAGGATGGAGTGGTGGTTATAACCCAGGGAATTATTTATTGAACTCTTGTTTAGGTAACAGTCATTCCTGTATGGCCTTGAAACTACAGTAGCATAAGAAGTGGGAGGGAGAGAATTGTGTTACCATTTCATCATAAAAGACTTTGGTTTGATTCCATTCTTGCTGTGAGTGGATGCCAGTTGCTTAGGTAATGAAAAGTCATTGAAGTTTTGAAGAGGTTTTCAAAATAGTTTTCCCCAAGCATAGACCGAAATGTTGGGATAGAGTAGTATAGAAGACTGAATTTCTGTTTTTGGCAAAACTACTGCATTCAGTAGTATATGGGGCTCCCAGAGACTTATCTTTGAATTAGTAGACATCTTTAGTTGAAAACAAAGACTAAAATTTAGGATTTAAGCCATGTGATGGTGCATACTTGTTCTTAGCTCTTAGGATACTGAGGCAGGACATCCAAAGTCCTCGACCCCAGGGTAAACTGTATAGGGAAACCACACTTATGTACCTAAGGATTTCCATTTACCTGTTGCATATATTGTCTTGTTTTAGATCTTGAGCCTTCTATGTTTTCTATGCTTGGCTTTTCTGAACAACACGGTTTCCATTTTCCTTTATAGTTCTCATGTCATGCTGCCCCCCACCCATAATCTTGTCTCCTTTTCTCTCCCACTCATTAGTATATCTACTTTTGTGAAGCCATCTGATTTCACTGAAAACTGCCATATTTAGACTTGACTTCTCAAATCTGTCTCCATATACAGCTTGCCTACTTGGATATATAATCCCGAAGGGTGCCTAAAATTGTATTTCTGACTTTACTCCTAAATTCTGTGCTTCTTATACATTCTTAAGCTAGTAACATAGATCAGAGTCTTTGAGGTTAAAGAAAACTACAGTTAACATGTACAGACGTTTTCCTTGTCATTATTCCCTAAACAATGCAGTATAATAATGATTTATTTAGGATTGCCACTATATTAAGTATTATAAATTATCTAGAGATTATGAAAGTGTATGAAGGCTTTGTATAGGTCATTACACCCTACACCGCTTTATCACATAGACTCCCAACATCTTTGGATTTTGTTATAAGGGGGTGCTTCCTGGAAACAATTTCTTAAAAATACTTAGAAGTCACTGTGCTGCTAGAGTGTTGATCACTAAGCCTCCTAAGTGTTCTCCTCTTCCCGTTTGCTGTCCCCCGCAAGATTTAAAAAAAAATGTGCATGTATGTGACTGCATGTAACGCATGTTGTTCATGCCTGTAAGATGCTGCCTTTTATCTGGTTAGTGGTGTGACCTGAAGTTTTTATTCTATTTAATTTGTAAACAGAAGCTGAGTGAGATTTATAAGTTCATTTTGTGGCTGTTCTCTCAAAGGAGTTTCTCTTTGTATAAATCAACTGTCAAGTCAATGGTCAGGATTCCTTTGAAACATCATAAGTTTCATTCTAATGTTGTTCTTGCTTTGTTTGCTTTCAGTTTTATTTCCTAATTTTGTTGGTTTGATGGCTTCACCCTTTTACAGAGTAAAGTTTATGGACTTTCAGTCCTTGTTATCTTTTTGGTTGTGAGCCTATCCTTTATTGGCTGAGCCACCCATACAGCCTGTAGACTTTCAGTTTTTACTGAACACAAAGCAATCTGTTAGCTGCCGGATTCACAGCTATGTGTTGAATGGTTGACTCCCTTAGAATAAAGTAGTATTGATAATTGGAGGTAGGTGAAGACTGCATGGATTTTACATGAATGTTACAGTTTTAGTGAAAAAACATTTTAAAGATATCTTTGTAAGAAATTATGTTTTAGTAGTACTTGTCTATTCTCTTTGTCATATAGACATATGTCAATAGTCATACTTTATTTGAAACTGTCAGTGTGTGTCTTTCAGAATTTCTTTTATTTCAGGGAGATTTTGTAAACTAGTTATAGGAATAGTTGTGCATGTAGGTCATTTGATTTCAGTTCTGGGCCTGTTTTCATGTAAATATTAATTCATTCCAAAAGTCCAAAAAAGAATTTAAGAGAGCAACTCTCATAATATTAAAAACCTGTTGCTGACAGTAGTACTGAGAGGGTTTCTGTATTTGGGGTGTGTTTCACCCACCCTCACAATGTCCTTTTTTTTTAAAATTTTAACCTGTAGTAAAATAAAATTTCATGATCTAAAATGGGTAGTGGAATGATTATAGGATTCTGGCAGGAAATTCAGGGGAAACGGAGAATGGATATTTAGCGGTAATGAAATAACGAAGGTAAAAATCTAGTGACTTTTCCAGTCTGGGACATTATTAATATACAGGTTAAGGGGGTGCTGGAAATTTTTTTTTTTTAAAGTTAAAGTGATAGAGTCAGAAAAGCATTCTGAATATTAATTCTAAAAACAAATGATAAACATAACGCCGATATGTACTGCTAGTTGAATGACAGTATTAATTGGAAAAGTATCATGGTAAATCAACAGTATTGTTAATATTAAGATATTTTGGCATCAGTTTTCATATACAATTAAAAAGTACCAATTTTTAATTGTAAATCTGATGGGTAGTTGAAGTGTTATCATCAGTAGCAGTATTGCCTTTTTAGGTAGTTTCTTTTGGGTGACTCTGCCTTTGAAAATAACATTTTATGTCAAGGAGGGCTAGGGATCTAGTTGCTAAACTCTAACTACCAGGAGAGTTGCTTTTCTGTCCGTTTTTGGACCAAGGCTAAATTTTGTTTAGGCTAATGTAATCACTTAAAAATAAATAAATAAAAGGCCCCAAGAGATGACTTGGTGGTTAAGAACAGTGCTCTTCCAGAGGACCTGTGTTCAGTTCCTAGTACCTGGATAGCTTGGAACTACTTGTAACTTCAGCTCCAAGGGATCCAATGCTGTCTTCTGTCTTCAGACACACGCACGCGCGCGCGCGCGCGCGCGCGCACACACACACACACACACACACACATACATGCACACACAAATGGCACACACAGAGACACAAACACCAAAACTAAAATAAATAAATAATAAAAGAGATAAGGTAATTTTTCTCTGTAAAGTGTTTTTTTTTTTTTTCTCTCCAAATCAACATGGATCATGTTTATGGGTTCCACATTTGGATTTGAAACTAAATTGTAGACAAGTTGATAAGCTGTTTTTCTTTTTTTTTTTTTTTCTTTCAGGCGTATTCCAGAGAACAATTTTCAAACATCTTTCCTTATATTTGGCATTGAGCAGTCAGGGGATTCAGGCATATGAGGAGGTACTGTCACATAAAACAGTGTCTAGTGAAGACGACAAGAAAGAGAGAAAAGGACCGGAAAAAGAAGCTAAAATACCATAGGAAACCATGGTAGGTAATGATTGCTATTTCTTTCATTCTCTTAGTAATAAAAGATTATATAATGTATCTTAACAGTGAGGGTAGATAGTGAACACTTGTCTTGGTTTCAGTCTCTCAGATAAGTGTGGTTGCTCTACTGTTGAAGAAAAGATTAGAGGGAGCTAGCTAGGGAACACGTGGTGGCTCACCATCATTTCTAACTCCAGTTCCAGAGGATCCAGTGCCCTCTTCTGGCTTTCTTGGGTACTGCATGCATGTGATGTGGCAGACATGCTGTGTGACAAAGCACCCATCCACATAAAATAAGAAACAAATCTTAAAAAAGAAAAAAAAAGCCATGTGTTAGAGCTCCATACTAGTGACAAAAAGAAGGGATGCTTGTTAATAATATTTTATACTAAGACTTAAGTGAAAACTTTGTTTTATATTAACAAACCAATATAGCTTAGTAATCTTGGACTTAACATTAAATAATTTCTATTCAGACTTTTTCATGAAGTTCAAATTTCTTTCTAATGAAAATTAAATAATTTCTATGGGGCTTTTATCTGGTGACATGAATGGTGGAAGAATTTCTACAACATGAATGTTTGACTTGAAAGGTACTTCTTATATACTTTTAAAATAATAGACTTATTTGTTGATTATACTAAGGAGTCTTAAAGTGAATGTCAAGGAAGGCTTGGTTTCTGTAAGAGTTTAGATTTTGAATTCATGATATTAGATGAGGTAATTATCTCTGTTTTGGTCCTTGAATTTTTTAATTATATTTTTGTGTATTTAGTGTGTGTGTTTGTGAATGTGTGCGTGTGCATGTGTTTATTTCATGGCATATGTATAAAGGTCAGAGGACAACTTAGAGAAGTTGGGTGTCTTTTTCTGAATCAAACTCAGGTTGTCAGACTTGGTTGTAAGTATCTTTCACCAGCTGAGCCATCTAACCAGCCTGGTGCCTAGGTAAGATTTTTCTCTCCCCCCCCCCCCCCCATATTTTGGTCCAAGAGGATATTGTATACATTTTTTTTTTTTTTTTAAGTAAGAGGGTTTAAAAGACATAAGTTAGGAGAAAAAGCACAAAATGAAAATTATCAGTGTATATTGAAACACATTGTTTATCAAGTATGATAATTGTTTTTTTTAAATGTTAACTTGTTTTAAAAAATATTTTGACAAGGTCTGAAAATAGTCAGTTTGCTTTTATGGAAAATAACATTTGTTATATCTTAGGTTAGAATGGTGGCAAAAAAAAAGTTAAGTTGGGGTTTTCCCTATTTTTTTCTTTTTTTGTGAAATATAGAAAAAAATACATTGTGACTTGTGTTGCCTTTCTTGTGAATTATCTGCTCTTAGTAAAGTATAGTTTTGCTGTAATTGGTTTTATAGTCATCTTAATATCATATATAATACATAAAAACTTTCTTCTGTAGTTTATTTTTAGCTTAGATGTTTGATATAAACATTTTGTGTTTTAATAAAATAGGAATCATTTATTGCTGCTTTTGAGTTTTAACATTTGATTATTTTTCTGTTTCATTCTTCTGGTCTAATTATTTTAATACTTAACTATGTTCATCTGGCACTTGAGTAGATTTTTTTTTCAGTAATTTTGATCGTGAATGCAATACATGTGTTAATTAGCTTGGAAAGTTGATGCTTTGGAATATGTATTTTCCCTATTATAAAATTTGGAATACTTCTTGTTAAAAGGTGTGCACCAAAGATTTGGATGTCAAATACTAAACGTTATTTTAGTGTTTTTCATAGTTTACATTATAAATTTGTATCTTGTATTATTACTCTTATTATATGGTCTTAATTAAAGGTGTGAGAATTTCTAGCACTTTGGGAGGTGGGAGTTCATTTGTAGAGACTTGAAGCTACAGTGTCATGTAGTATGGCTGATGATTTTTTTGGAGGGGGTTAATCAGAAAGCTACAGGTTTAGCTGAAAGAAAGTGGTACATTATGACTGAATGTGAACCCTACCATGTGACATGCTTTTTATTTGGGGGTGTGAGGTTTAATAAAATAGGACTTTACTTCCAATTCAGGAGCATATTTTTATTGTTTGAACATTAACTGCTTTATAGTGGCTGTCACTTTGTGCTTTGTTGACTTAAAATATACTCATGTTATCTTTATGAGGTGATATTCCTTTTAAGTTTTTTTTTCTTTCTCCCTTCTCACAGAGATCTATTAGATCTTTTGCCAATGATGATCGCCATGTTATGGTGAAACATTCAACAATATATCCATCTCCGGAGGAACTTGAAGCTGTTCAAAATATGGTGTCTACTGTTGAATGTGCTCTTAAACATGTCTCAGATTGGCTGGACGAAACAAATAAAGGCACAAAAACTGAGGGGGAGACAGAAGCAAAGAAAGATGAGGCTGTAGAAAACTATTCAAAGTGAGTGTTGAGTAGCTTTTGTTAAGCTTTGCCCAGAAGAGGTTGTGGATCCTCTGGATTGAGTTGGCGATGTGCTTGCTGTTCTTTTAATTTTATCATACGGAACATAACCATGAAAGTTAATGCTTCATGCCATTTTTTTTTAGAGTTAAATTCTAATAGGAAAGTAATGAGGAATAATAAGTAGAATCAGAAAAAGATGATAGTTTTTTCAGACCCCTTTTGAGATTACACTAATATTTGAGAATTATGATATGTCATTTGCTGTGTTTGTTCAGTCTCTTAAATTCTAGAATAAATAACTTATTTTATTTCAAGGAAGTCATAAAAATACTGTTTCTAGCTGGGAATGGTAGCACAAACATGCCTGTAGTTCTAGCAGGAGTCAGAGGCAGGCAGATCTTTGAGTTTGAGGGCAGCCTCGTCTACATAGCTACATAGTAAGCTCAGGACAGCCAAGACTACATAGAGAGACCCTATCTCAAAACAAAACAAAAAATACTGCTTCTGTTAGACATTTTGAAATCATGTTATACAGGAGCATAGAAAAATGTAATAGTAGCGTTAACTTATTTAACTTGTTACTTCATAGGACATATCAGCATCTATGTTGCATATTGTTAGTGTACCGTTTTGTGACTTGTAGAAGGAAGGACCAATAGAAGGAAGCCAGGGCTTTTAACAGTTACAAGAGAAGTGTTGGAAGGTAGCAATACTAGAGATCCATAAGATGAAACCACAGTGCTGCCTGTAACTAGATTATGAGATTTTATGTCATGCCAGTTTGGAGCTACTCAGCTGAGCACTGTTAACTACGATTATAGTAACTCTAAACCTACTTTGAAAAACGAAGTTTATTTGATTTGTTGTACCATATTTATAGGTTTAAAAACATTGTGTTAGCTATGACTTATGCAAGTGGAAAATAGAAGCTCCAGATTTTCCCTCCAGCTTTCAGTTTTCTACATCACTGTGATAAGTAGATAAGGAAGAGTAGGAGAGGATTGATGAATGAATGGTCTGTACTAAAAGATAGTACAGCCTTTTCCTTCACTTCCAAGATAAGCAGTGAGCTTCATGCTGAAGAGCATGGCAATAGACTGTTACACATAACTGCACATTGGATTGTGTCTCAGTGTGGAAGTTCTTGTAAGTAATCACTTTTCCTCAAATTTGGTTGTTTAAACTCTTAATTGTTTAATTTGGTACACATGCTAATTATATTTTCTAGTGCTTGTGCTCCTGAGTGACCTACATACTTGGGTTTCTCTGTATATATTATAGTTCTTGTACAAGTTAAGTCATTAATGGTTTCTAGATTTAAATTGTAGTGTTTATGTTGCTTTTTCAATTTTTTGAAAAATTGAGGTTTTACACATCTGCACACATGCTCCTACTCTTCTGAGTATATATTTCATAGAAGTTTGTAGCTTTTGCATCTTCTAATGCTTTTTTTTTTTTTCTTCAAGATTGTGATTCTTCCTACATTGTCTTGTGAGACTCAAGGAATACAGAGTAGATCTGTTTTTACTCTGTAAAGCAGGGGCCGATGTGTCTTTCAGGTTTAGAGGTGTGTTCCATAGACACACCTATTTGGTCTCTCCAAATAGTGAAAATATTAGTGAGATGAGGTACTTTTGCTCATGCTAGACTGACTGTCCTCTCTGTGGGGTGTCATCCAAAATACTGGTTTTGGGAGGTTCTCTATGTAGTAGATTAAAGGTGGTAGAGGGAAGGCTGGTAGGAAGGCATTATTGAAATAGTCTATTTGAGAACTTGAGCAGAATAGTTTGAAGGCAAGACTTGAGAATGATTATGGAGAAGAGACTATACACATTAGGGAGCCAGAGAGGATAAGACAACAGAGTAAGAAAGAATGTTTGATGACTGATGGATTCCAGCAGTTACCTGCACACTTCGCTCACTTATCTCCTTCTCCACTTGCACTCTCTTTATAGACTTAATGTTTATTGAATCTTCAAGGTTGCTCAGGCTTTGAGTAGCTAATAACTCCTTCTAGTTTGCACCACCATATGTTATTTTTTTTCATTTCATTCTTAACTTCACTGACTTCGAACTATCTGATGATTCTTTGCTTCTAAACTCCCTCCCCATCTAGCCAAACCAAACCTTCAGGTACCTTTTTTGATATCTCTAATTATAACTGTTTTCTTGAGAAGCAACTGTAGAACATAAAGAACCTGAGTGTCAACTATCCTGAGTTTAAATCCAGGTGTTGACATATTACTTTTAAAAAAATAAGTTTATTTAGAATATGTGTTGGGATGATGGTGGGGATACTGGTATAGTGTGTTTTCTGTGCATGGGTACTCATATGTTGGGGCCAGACGTTGATGTTGGGGTGCTCATGCTCTTTCTGTCTCTTTCTCTCTCTGTGTCTATCTCTCGGTCTCTCGGTCTCTGTCTCTTGTTTCTGTCTTTGTCTCTGTCACTTACTCACTCATTCATTATTTGGCTAGACTGGCTGGCCAGCAATCATCAGAGAATGTTTCCATATCTGCTTCTCTACTCTTGGTATTACCGGCATGGGCTGCTGCACTTAGCTTTTTTTTGATGAGGATTAGATTTTAGGTCACTATGCTTTCATAGCAATTACTTTACCCACTGAGCCATTTCCCTCAATTTTAATTTTTTTCTCATAAAAATTACAGAAATTTCCTCTGTGACCTGGTAAGGCTGCCCCGCCTCAGGGGGAGGTGATCAAAGAGCCAGCCAGCAGAGTTCATGTCAGAGACAGCCCTTGTTCCCTTTACTAGGGAACCCGTTTGGACACTGAGCTACCATAGGCTACATCAGTGTAGGGGTTCTAGGTTATCTCCATGAATGGTCCTTGGTTGGAGTATCAGTTTCAGAAAAGACCCCTGGCCAATGCAGACAGTCCTGATGAGACCTGATAGGCTAGGGTCAGATGGAAGGGGAGGAGGACCTCCCCTATCAGTGGACTTGGGGAGGGACATCGGAGGAGAAGAGGGAGGGAGGGGGCTACAACTGGGATACAAAGTGAATAAATTGTAATAAATAAAATTAAAAAAAATACAGAAATTTAAAAAGAACAGTTAAAAAAGTTTCAATATTCTTGGGATTCTTAAGTAATATAGTTGTTATAATGAATTAAAATACCTGTAGTGTAAGATACAATCCTTAGTCATTAGGAAAAAGTAACTTAAAATGTGTGAGCCTTACATCTGAGTTTTAATTTGTAGATTTTTGGATGTCTGGATGTACATAATAGTTTATCCATTTATGTAGGTATTCAGGAAGCCAAGGGACAATAGTAGCTTGGAAAATATGTTTAACAGGCTTTTTTTTTTTTTTTTTGGTAGGGATCAAGGTGGCCGAACATTGTGTGGGGTAATGAGGATTGGCTTGGTTGCAAAAGGCTTGCTGATTAAAGATGATATGGACCTAGAGCTGGTTTTAATGTGCAAAGACAAACCCACGGAAACCCTGCTAAATATAGTCAAAGATAATCTTCCCATTCAGATTCAGGTAAGTACTGTTTAACTGCATTTGAGATTTTTTGGTTTTGTTTTGTTTTGTTTTGTTTTGTTTTTTTTAAAACAGGGTTTTTCTGTGTAGCCCTGAGTCTTCTGTACTTGATTTGTAGACCAGGCTGGCCTTGATCTCAGAGATACACCTGTCTCTGCCTCCTAGAGTGCTGGGATTACAGGCATGCACCACTGTGCCTAGTGCCTTTGAGAATTTGTAAAGAGTTAAGAAACAGTAACCTTGATGACTATTAACAAGAATTGGTAAGTCAGGGATAGGTATAAAAAAAGAATACCAACATGATTTGGTAGAGGAATCCACATTTCTGGTGACTTATATTCAGGATATATTTACCAAAGTGAGGCCATTAATTTTTCGGTCTTAAACCTTTCAGGCATGTCTTGCTGAGACTGTATCTCTTCACCCCTAGACTTTGTATGTCTCTGCGAATTATAAAACTCTTAGAAGAGTTGAAATAAAACAAAAAGTTGAAAATCAAAAAAGTTCAAAGATCAAAAGTAGATAATTTCATGATGCTTTTAAAAATAGAAGATTTGGTAAAGTTTTAAGTTTATTAACTGGTGTGTTTGTGCATATGTGTTTGCATATGTGAGGCCACAGGACAACTTTGTGAGATCAGTTCTCTTCTTTTACCTGTATGTGGATTCTGGTGACTGAACTTAGCCTGTCAAGCTAGCATGCCAAACATTTTGACTAATAAACCTCTTGCAGGTCTCAAGAATTAGTTTAAGTCACCCATCTGTTAAGTTTATGGAAAGTCACTGTTTCTGTTTGTTTTCCAAATTATTTTCTCATTGGGTTGGGTTTAGAAAGCTTAATGCTGGCATGCATGCGCTTGGGCTCTGGTCACCCTAAGACTGACCTTGCTAGCTATCCCGGAGATGTGTGTAACACTGATTAGGAAGCTGAGATTGTTTTTCATTTCAGTTATGTGCTACTTATAATCAATCGATTGTAGCTTCTTGGTAATTATATTTTAGGCTGTTTTCATATCTGTGCCATAGAAATAGATGTCAGCCCACAAGTCTAAACTTTTTGAGTTGGTGAATGCTCATCTGTCTGTTCATGCTTGCTTTTTCCTTAATTCTTGAAAAAAGATGTATTTAAAATTAAAATATATATATGTGTGTGTGTGTGTGTGTGTGTGTGTGTGTGTGTGTGTGTGTCTGTTTTGCCAGTGTGTATAGGAGGTCAGAAGAGGGCATTGGATCCATTTGTGAACTGCCATGTGGGACTGGGAACTGACCCTGGGTCTTATGGAAGAGTAGCTATTGTTCCTAACCACTAAGCCATCCATCTCTAGCCCTCTTTTGTTTTTTGTTTTTTTTTAAATATATATTTTTATAAATGAGGCAGATACCTTAAAAAAATAAGTGTTTTTAATTTTGATTAACTTAGGTGTGTTTTTTATTTACAAGTTTTAAAAATAATATTAAAAATACAAAAATCAGTATATATTCATTGTATACAATATTAGATTTTATTGGGTCATTCTGATACATATAGACCATGTGTTTTGATCCTATTCACCCATTTGCTTCTTTCTTTTGTATTCTCCCTTTTCTACTGGTTCCTTTCCTAATATTCCTCCCTTTGCTTTCAAGTCTTAAAACAAAAAAACAACCGCTCCTCCAGCTATTTCTTTACTTCCTGTGGAACTCAGAAGACAACTTGCAAGAGTCAGTTCTCTACTGTGTAGGTTCTGAGGCTTGGCAGCAAGCATCTGTAGCCACTGAGCTGTCTTGCCTTTATGCTCTCCCCTGTTTAAAGTTTAGATTCTCATAAGAAAGAACACATAAAGGTGTGGTCTGGGAGAGCTGACTCAGGGGTTAAGAAGACTTGCTTTGCAGAGGATCTAGGTTCAGTTTTCAGCGCTCACAAGGTGGCTCACTACTATCTCTAACTCCAGTTCCAGGAGATATGATGCCCTCTTATGGCTTCTGTGGGTATTGCACACATGTGATGGACTTACCTACCAACAGGCAAAACATTCATACATACTAAATAAAAATAGATAAGACCTTAAAAAATGGAGAATGCTCATACTGTTTATCTTTGTCAACCTGGCTTATTTTGCCCCACATGATGTTCTCTGGTTCCATCCATGTTCTTACAAATGATATAACTTAGTCCTTGAATAATATTCTGTTGTCTAAAAGGAGCCTTTTCCTCCTAGTTATGTGAATTTGTAACTTTTTTTTTATTACCTGGTCATTTTCTCCATATTATCTTTCTTCCTTTCTTCCTTCTTTCCATTTTTCCTTCCTTCCTTCTTTCTTAGACAGGGTTTCTCTCTGTAGCCATGGTTGTCCTGGAACCTGCTCTATAGACCAGGCTGGCATTGAACTCAGAGATCTGTCTCATTTCTGTAGCATTGACGATACCATCCACCAGATTTGATAAGTTTCTTTCTAAACACTAGTGCTTTCTCTGTGCAGGTTTCACTTGTTGAACTTTAAAATTGTTTCTTTCTCAAGTGAGATTTTATTTCTGGATACCATGGCTTTTAAATGTCACTGTTGATCTGGCAAGTCTTCAAGGAAAAATCCCAAAAGAGAGTATACATTTGCAGACATTAAGGAACTTTGGGCTTTCAAGGCTACAGAAGACTAAAAAAGATATAAAACATTCTGAAGTCTTTTAAGGGTTAAAAGAGGTAGAGGAGACTTGAACACTTAGAGGCAATATTGGATATTATGAGACATGTATTTCAATTTAAAATAGTCATTATAGCTTTCCAACAGTGAATTTTCTGTATTTGGGTAGCGGTATATTTCACTGGAAAGTTGTAATCTTAATTGTCCGCCAGTGTTAAGATTAAGTTATACACATGTATACACATTTCCCTCTTTCTAAGCACACATGCATTACTATTATAATATTTCAGGAAATAATTTTAGTGTGACCTTCACACTAAAACCCAGGTCCTCTGGAAGAGCAGCCAGTGCTTTAACAACTGAGCCATCTCTCCAGGTGCAATAGATTTGATCGATTGTGTGTGTGTGCGTGCATGTGTGTTTCCGCCAGGTCCAGTAGATTGGTTGTGTGGGCTGTGTGTGGTGTGTGTGTTCCTGTGTGTGCTTGACTGCATATGTATGCTTAATGTGGAAATCAGGGGAGTATTTGTTGTGTTTCTCTTCTCAAGAACTATTTATCCATCTTTTCTTTTTTTTCTTTTTTTTTTTTTCCTTTTTGAGATAGAATCTCTTGGTGTGACCTGGGGCTCCCTAATTAGAATAGGTAGGCCAGCTGGCCATTAAGCCCTAGGCATCCATCTGTGCCCATCTCCCTAGTTCAGGGATTCTAGGCATATACCACCATGCCTATTACTTTAAAAAATATATTTTTATTTTATGTTGTGTGCACTGTGTGTGTGATGCCTGAGTAGCCAGAAGAGAGGTATCAAGTCCTCTGGAGCTAGAGTTACAGATGATTGTGAGTCACCTTGTGGGTGCTGGGTGCTGAACCCTGTCCTCTGCAAGGGCAGCAAGTGCTGTTAACCACCGAGCCAGCTTTTGGCTCTGTCTGTTGTTCCGTGTGTGCTGGGATCAAACCTGAGTCCTCGTGCTTGTATAGTCAGCACTCTATAACCAACTCATCTCTTCAACCCTCTAATAGATAACTTTAATGAATTTTTTTCTCATTGGCAAAATGATTGTAAACAGGTTTTGTGGTTGTTTATTTTGCTTCTGGTTCTTCCATTCATGGTGTGATCTTTTCCTTTTTTACTTCTGTTCAACATTAGAGTAATGAGTTTTCTTTTTTTTTTTTTTTTTGCATTTTTTGAAGTACCTTAGTAATAAAACAATGGTGTTTCTTTTATAAATAACTGAGTCTTTTAGTGCATACCTTGTATTTTCTTCAGCCTATTTTATATCATTTAATATATATTAAGCTGATCATTAAGAAATGCCTGTGCTGGTGTGGTGGCTCACACCTTTGATTCCAGTGCTTAGTAGGCAAAGGCTGGTGGATCTAGTTTGAAGCCAGCCTGGTCTACAAAGCAAGTTTTAGGACAGCCAGTGCTACACATAGAAACCATGTCTCAAAAAGCCAAAGAGAGAGAGAGAAAGAAAGAAATGCCTTGCATGATTTATTTAATTATGCATTTAATGTCTAATAATATTCAATATATGATTTTGATTATTTTATGAAAGCCCCAGGATTATATGGTTATCTTATTGTATGTTAAAAGAAGCAATGTTAATTTCCATGTGGATGCCAGTTGGCTTATCTTATAATGATAAGTCTCAGTGGAATGATTTCTGAGATCTATTTTAATTATGCAAGGCTACTGTTTATAATCATTCTTTCACATGACTATCAGTAGATATCTTTTTCGCTCATACTTTCTTGTTTTACTTTAGAAATTTGTATAGTCTTTATTCATATGTCCTGGCAATTAGTTCTTTAGATTGTTCAACAGCATTGTTGTTTTGGAGAGCATTTCTAGCTATCTACTTTACTGTAATAATTTCAAGGGTATTTATTTACTCTTTAACACTGCTATTGACATTTTACATGGAAGAAAAATGGTTTTAAATATTATTTCATAATTGTCTGCATGGTTGACATTATGGTCTCTTTATGAGGGATGAAGAATAGGTTTGCATAAGTTGAAAGAGAAGTTATCCACAAAGTAATGAGCTAGTTACAGTTGTGGATTATTTGCTTTTACTAATAGTTAATAATATCTACTAACTTAGCATGTGTTCCCTTTTAGAGATTTTAATCTGATTTGAGTGTTTTTGAAATCTTGGTGACTTTTAGAAACTGACAGAAGAGAAATACCAAGTGGAACAATGTATAAATGAAGCTTCCATTATAATTCGGAACACGAAAGAACCAACACTGACTTTGAAGGTGATACTTACTTCCCCTCTAATTAGGGACGAATTGGAGAAGAAGGATGGAGGTACATGTGTGTATATATATACACATACATATGTTTCTTTTTGTTCATGTAACAGCTCTTTTCAGTACTGTTTTAACTATGCCTTGGGATTTAGGAGGTCACAGACTTCATTTGCTTGTGTAAGCCACTTAATATTTTAAAGTTTTGTTTTTACGTATGTATTTTGCACTTTCAGAGACTTATGTTTATCATGTATGCTTTAACTGTGCCTTAATTTCTCTACCATTTTGGCGATCTGCTTTCCTTTTTTTAGTATAACTTCAACTCATTGATTTCAGCTAACCTGTTATACTGGCTTGCTGGTCAGATTTCAGATATAAACCAGAATTATTTTAAAATTCTTTTGCAGATTTTGAAGTTGCTCACTTGCATGTTATGTTTGACTTCTAATATATCCTTGACTTCTAGTATATCCTTATAAATTTTAGTTATTTGTATGTAGATTTGGTTTATAGAATAAGGAAAAATAATCTGAATATATATAATTGTACTCTGAAGATTAAAAATTATTGAGAAAAATATATTCAGATTATTTTTCCTTTATATATATATATATATATATACACATATACACATATATATATATGTATATGTATATAATATATATGCATGCACACAGACACTTTTTAAATTTTGGAGACAGGTCTCGCTACATAGCCCTGGTTGACCTGAAAGCCACTATGTAGAGTTGGATGGCCTCGAACTCAGATCTGTCTACCTTTGCCTCTTCAGTACTGAGATTAAAGGCCTGGACCAACATCCCTGTCTTCATTAAATTTTTGAGAAGCTTTTGACCCTGTTAACAGTTTGAATAGGATATATGTTAAAAAGAATCGCTGTATGACATTGTCATCCTCATAAATGTAGAATGAGAAGTTACTTAACTATTAGTAGTTTTGAGAAGTTGATGGGTGTGTGGTGAGCTTCATTATGTTTTTATCTTAAGTTAACTTTTTAATACTCTCAGTCCTGTTCAAAGAAACATGCCATGTGATATTTCTCTTATGTTGCATTTGACCAACTGGCCACCCTGTCACATCAGTTTTAGAGACACTATTGTATATATGGGCCAGTAGGATACTTGCTATTTTTCATCTGTCAGATTTCAGCAACTCTCATTGTGTACCATAAGTACCACTAAAGGGAAAGGCAGATAGGTCAGCTTTGTAGTTTATTTTAAATTGTTAACAGTGACAGGAAACGGAATACCTAGTTGTGTGTAGACTTTTGATTTTTGGCTCCTAGACACAAATCATAGAATCCTGGAATTAAAATAGATGGTCATCTTTTTTAAAAGTGTTTTTTTTTTGGGGGGGGGAGGTCCAGCTCATGGTCAACTAAAATCAGAAATAATATTATCATTAGAAACCAGTTACATTTTTTGAGTCTTTTAAATTATAGTACATCCAGTGTATAATTGGGTTTAATGCTTGTACTTTACCCTTTATATTGGCATGTCTGTAGCACCTCAGAAGAACTGGTCTTTTAAATGACTTAATTTTTTTAACAGCAAATCTATGATTTCTGATATCTGTTGTATCGAGATAAGTGTTAATTTTGGTGAGCTGTGTTCTTGTCCCTGTAGTAGAAAACCAACTGTTTCTATGTAGAGTTGTAAGTATAGGTGCTACTGAACATTATTTTTATATTGAGAGTTGTTTGTATCTGCTTCTTTGTTTACCCCTTTGAAGGTATTAAGAAAATATAAAGTTTTTTTTTTTTTTTTTTTTTCTCTTGGGGGTTTTGTGTACTCTTACGGGATTTTGTCCTAGCTTTCAGTGTTGAGTCTCTCGGGCTTAACCTGTTGCTTTTAAAACCTAGGTTTTGGTTCAGAGAAGCTGAAAACAGGCTCTTAGTTTATTATACCTTTCTGGAGCAATATTAATTGTAGAAAGGAATTTGTATCAAGTAATATAGTCTCAATCTTTGTTTAAGGTGTTTTAAGTTACTAAGATTCTAAAGGCCTCTGTGTGCTGGCTCTCATCAGCTTGTCGAGATCAGGTAAGGCTAAGGAATCAGTTAACACACATTACTTCTCTTTTTGATGGCAGAAAATATGCCCTTAATATCCCAGCCCTGGTGACCAACTTAATATTTTACAGTTTATTCATTTTTTTTTCTAATCTGGTCTTTATTATAGACACCTTTTTGTGTAATATTTCTGGGCAGTTTGGAGCATCCAGCATAATTATGCAATCTGGATTATGCAGTGTTTGTTTACCTAGACACTTGTTTCCTTTGACATAATTCTTTTCATTTATATGGGATGAAACACAGGCACATTTAGCTTTCAGGGATACCTGGCAATGAAGAATAGCTGCTGCTGCTTTTCATTTTCTTTCTTAAAGCTAAACAATGTCTTGTAGCACCTGTCCTCTACCCTGAGACAGTTTGTAATAGTACTCTGATTTGTTTTTACCACTCTCAAATACATAGTTAACAGTATAGAAACAAATCAACTGTTTTCTTCCCTCTCTTAACTTGCTAAATGATTTCAGCAAAACCTAAATGAGAGGGAAGTTAGGTTGAGAACAGGCAGAGCCAGAGAACTAGGTCTACATAGTGCATTAAATTTATCTTTAATATTGTCTGTGTAGAAGTGTATATAACCATTTACTTCAAATCACCATTTATGTTCTAAGTTGTCAAGTGTATATAATGAATATACTTTTAAAAAATAATGTCACAAATCTCCTTTGCTATCAATATTAACATACTCTCATTCTTTTACTTGAAGACCTTGTGAAATGACTATTTCCCTAGTACTATGTATTTCCTTAAAAGGGAAAAAGAAAGGTGTAGGAGAAAAAGCAGAGATCTTGCTGCATAACATCTTTTTGTTCACTCTGTTAGTGTTGTGTGACACTGAGCAGGCTTTCAGAGTTTAGTTAATACAGAAACAGTAAGTTGTTTACAGGTCTCTGTGAGAGAATTTCTATACAGTGAGGTATACAACTAAGATCAAAGTAATAAAGTGTAGAAACCACTCAGCTACTAAATACTTTTACCTATTCAAACAGTCTCAAAAGTGACAGTAATGTGGGCACACTAGAGTCAGACAGCTGAACCGTAGCCCAGCTAAGTAAGCTATTTATTTATTTATTTATTTATTTATTTATTTTTATTTATTTTTTTTTTTTTTGAGGCAAAGATTTACTATGTAGCTCTGGCTGGCCTGGAACTCACTAAGTACAACAGCTTGATACACCAGGATAGCCTTGAACTCACAGAGATCCTTCTGCCTAAGCCTCTGGAGTGCTGGGATTAAAGACCTGCCCTACCATTTCCATTTACTTGGGGACATTTCATGCTTGAAATTGAGTATCATGAGTGAGTATACCGTGAGCTTTGTACTAGTAAGAGCCGGCTTACTGTGTAGCTTGTGCTCTTTGGAAGGCAGGTATCTTTTTCCTCCTCCTATCCTGTCCTTTATCCTAGGCACCGAGAATGATGCCATATACAGTAAATTTTCAGTCAGAGAAAATACAATCTAGTGTATAAAAAAGTTAACAATGGGCAACATCTTACATGGCTTTAGAAATATTACAAGTTTTGGTATTTTATGTATAAGCATTTTCTCATATATATTTATAAATCTCACAGTAGCCATAGGAGGCCACTGTTATAAGCAGGACTGTATCATATTTTGCTCAACTAACCTGACAGAGTCCAGTATAGAATCCTCTTTCTTGTTCCTGCCTAGGTTGCTGTATGGACACTTGAGCTGATTTTTCCTTTCTGACCATATTACACAGCCTCAACTCTGGTGCTTGTAACTTTAAACTAGAAATGTATTTGCTATGGGGAGGTGATAAATTGTATGTAAAGTTATGTTTACAATGCACTTTTAAACCAAGCAGATAGTGAAAATAAAGCCTTTTCTGGCTTATACTAAAATCAGCTTTTGTCCTTAGTATTGAGGTAGATTCAGAGCTTGATAAAGAAGCTATCCTAGAGTTCCTTTTCAGCAGTTGATGCCACAGTGGTCTTCTAACTCTTCTTGGCAGAGGTTCAGCGATGTGTCCGGCTAAGGGTCAGGACAGTAGACTGTTGCAGACCATAATTGTGCTGCAGGCTATATTTTCCTGCCTTCCCCAGGTGTGCAGAGCAGTCCTTTGGTCATTTTCCTCCCAGTGCTTGACTGTCACTAAGGTAGTGTTTGTGCCACAATTAGACAAATTAAGAGGACAGTGCTTCCATCTTATTGCTACATGTTTGTTTTTATTACTGTGTTTTTCATGAACAGTAGCTCAGGCATAATGTCCTTCCAGAAAGCTTCAAGGAATTGAGAGAAAAGAGATTTCAGGATATCCTCAGACATACTAAAAACATTCTGTCAGGATGAGCCAAGAACTCAGCTTTATCCAGATTATCATGGAGCCTGCTACGATTCCCAGCTCAGATGCTTTTACTTTTGAAGAGCTAGGTTCTAGACACACACAGGCACAGTCATGTCTGGCTTTCTCCTTGTTCTTCCTTTATAGGCTAATGCTCTATTAACAGGGGCAGATAGCTTGTATGTAAGGCACTGTGAAAAATTGACTGTCAGCTGCAGAGTCGTGTTTATTGACCACTGATATAACCTCTAACCAAGCAAGCAAGGTGAGGCATAGTAGTCCTTTTTCCAGTGTTCCCATTGTGAAGAATGCTGCATGTACCTTCTTGCCCTGATAGTAGATTACAAAAACATTTTTAAAAGCTATTTTTCTTTGTATTTGACATTTTTGTCAGTACTTGCCCATCTTTCTGTGCTATTTTTCTTCTTCTTTTTTTTTTTTTAAAGATTTATTTCATTTATTTTATGTATATGAGTGCTCTATCTGCATGTACACCTCCATGCCAGAAGAGGGCATCAGATCCCAGTATATGGTTGTGAGAATTGTGAGTATGTGGTTGCTGAGAATTGAACTCGGGACCTCTGGAAGAGCAGATAGTGCTCTTAACCTCTGAGCCATCTCTCCAGCCTTTTGCTATTTCTTATGTTTCCTACAAAGGAAGTGAAATAGATCATAATTTTATTTTTATTTATTTTTGAGACAGGGTCTTCCTATGTACCCCTGGCTTGGGATTCACTATGTAGACCAGGCTAGTCTGGATGCACAGATATCCATCCATCTTCCTCTGACTTTCTGCTGTTTTTAATTAATTATGACTTTTTTTTTTTTTTTTTTTTTTTTTAAAAGAAAGTTGAAAAACACAGAGCAGACCCCCACACACCTGTGTTAAGGTACTAAAATATTAAACTTGAGGTTATATCAAGAGTGGCATTGTTTTCCTAGCAATAGTTTTGTGATTGCCACATTAATGGAGTGTTTTTCCTAATCAGTAAAAATGTGTAAAAATATATCATTAGCCATATAAAGGGAATTTACAAGCTGGCCTGATAAGTAGCAAGGTGGTGCCATACTTGCAAGACTTAAAAAAAAATGTGTTTGTTACACCTAACTGTTTCCAGCCTCATGAATAGTAAACCATTTTGGTAAATCTTTTGACTGTTAGAGCATGAACATACATGGCCATTTTGATGTTGATATAAAGGGAATCTTTCTTTTCATCTCTTTTTAGTAGAATCTTGTTTCCAAATGTTGGCTGTCTGTAGCAAGCTGATGTCTTGATTTTTAAAATTTAAAATTTTTTAATTTATTACAATTTATTCACTTTATATCCCAGCTGTAGTCTCCTTTCTCATCCCTTCCCAGTCCTACTCTCCCTCCCTCTTCTCCCATACCCCTTCCCCAGGCAACTGATGGGGGAGGTCCTCCTCCCCTTCCACCTGACCCTAACCTGTCAGGTCTCATCTGGAGTGGTTGCATTGTATTTCTCTGTGGCCTGGTAAGGTGTGACAACCCCATCACCCCCCAGGGGGGGAGGTGATCAAAGAGCAGGCCAGTCAGTTTATTTCAGAGACAGTCCCTGTTACCTGTTACCCTAGGGAACCCACTTGGAGACTGAGCTGCCATGGGCTACATCTGTGCAGGGGTTCTAGGTTATCTCCATGCATGGGCTTTGGTTGGAGTATCAGTCTCAGAAAAGACCCCTGGCCAATGCAGACAGTCCTGATGAGACCTGATAGGCTAGGGTCAGATGGAAGGGGAGGAGGACCTCCCCTATCAGTGGACTTGGGGAGGGACATGGGAGGAGAAGAGCCAGGCAGCCTTTGTTGGTTCTACCTTTTAGGAGAGTCTAATAACTCATTTAGAGATGTTTATCTTTTACAAAAGCTTTACACAGATGCTTGTATTGACTAAAACAATTGGATGACAAAACATTAAAATGAGTCAGTTGTATGTTTGTCTGTAAAAACAAGTAAGTCCAGGAGCTGGAGCACCTGTGAGTACCATATTTGTTTGGGTTTCTAAACAAGTCCGCATTGATAATTCTTTATGAGGCTTCTGATCTTATGAGTAGAAATGAGTAATGAAATGAGCACCAGCACTGTGATTTTTGTTGGCGGGGTTAATGGAAAACAGTGCTGACATCTGCTGTGGCGCTCACTTGGCAGAAAATAAGTGTGTGACACTTCATCCTTTAGTGCTGCAGCAGAGCAGGGAGCCCCATCTTTTGTCAGTGGCTCTAGTTGAAAATTAAGCCTTCAGGGTTAGTAACGTTTTAGCTAGTAGACTCAACACTAGATTTGCCGCTATAGACTCACTGATAACGGAGGAAACCAAAAAATATCAATGTTCTTTTGTGCCATTTAAAAGTATTTACATTGCTTGAACTATGCAGTGTATTCCCTATCTACTCTCAAGAGAATACTGACAGGAAGTGTTGGTGGGACTTTTTTTTTCTCCCTTCCTTCCTTCCTTCCTTCCTTCCTTCCTTCCTTCCTTCCTTTTTTTTTTTTGGTGGGGGGAGGCAAGGTTTCTCTGTGTAGCTCCTGGCTGGGCTGGCTTTGAACTCACAGAGATCTGCCTGTCTCTACCTCCCAAGTGCTGGGATTAACATTGTGCTCTAACCTCTTGGCTTAAAAGCATTCTTAAGAGAGAGTAATAAATCTGATTTAGATGTTAGACAACCCTTTTGAGGGAATTCTATTGTGGAACTATCAAATATGTATTAAGATTTAAAAATTAAAAACCCATTCTGCATAGCTTAGCAGAAATGAATTTGGTAATACTTGGACTTAGTATCATGTGGCATCTCAAATATGTGGGTTTTATTGTTAATCATGTTTAAATTTTGCTGCTTTTGACCATCTCAACCCATTGTGAGATAGTAAGGTAAATCAAAATACCATGATTAGGTAGCAGTCTGAGTTGCCTTAAGAAAAAAAAAAGAGATCAATAAATAAAAATATTTCTATTTTATATTTGTAGTTTTAAATTTTTGGGTCCAAAAAGAAATACTGAATGAACCTCAAGGTAGCTTTTGAGCTCTTAGCAGTGGTGGTGGTTTAGTGACTGGGTTTGTTTAGAATCAAATACACACTGAGCGTATATTCAGCATTTCTAACTTTACTATTATATAAGAGCTGTTTTAGACCCTGATGAGTTATCAAAATTTCTTCTAATAAAAATGTTTTTATTGCTATTGTTCCCAGATGTCTTTCTTTATAGTTTGCCAAAGTATGCAATGCTGTGTATTTATTTTGTTTTCTATGATGGTTCACATGTTCATTAGTAAGATTACAGATTGATAATCAGAAGCAGTAGTCACTGATCCCTTTACTGAATGAATTCTTTTACTCTTCCTTGCATTTTTGCTCAAACTCTGATGACTTCATGTAAATAATGTGTACTTAATTTTAAAAAGAAGCAACAAAACCAAATTATGAAATTTTTGGGAGTCTTATTGTAAGTTCACTCAAATGCTGCTTTCTTTTGGTTGCTAGTGATTATTTCTTAACACCTTTTCAAACTCTATCTGTTTTCCTTTATCCCATTTTATTATTAGAAAATGTAATGATGAAAGACCCTCCGGACTTATTGGACAGGCAAAAATGCCTGAATGCCTTGGCTTCTCTTCGACATGCCAAATGGTTTCAGGTTGGCGCTTTGTTATTTCCTTACTGTTCCTGTATAGCCATATGTAGATTATGTTTGGAACACCTGACACGTAGTGTTTTCCGTGTGCTATATAAATGGGGATACTTTGTAGCTCATTGAATCATTCTTGGAGTAAATCAGTTAGTTCCTTTAGATAAAGAGCCTAGAATAGCTTTCACTGTAGTGTGTGCACTGTGGTGTGTGCGTACCAACCAGAGCTCAACTTCAATGTCATTTTTCAGAAGCTGCTCACCTTGCTTTTCTTTTTGAGATAGGGTCTCTCATGGCACCGGGAACTCACCAAGTAGGCTAGGCTGACTAGCCAGCAAGCCCCAGGGACCCTTTTGTTTCTGCTTTCCCAACACTGAGATTATAAGTGTGTGCCACCACACCTGGCTTTTAAAACACAGGTTCCGAGGGTTGAACTCGAGCTTCCATGCTTTCCTAGGAAGCACTTTATCCACTGAGCTTTCTTTCCATGATATTTTGTTAACAAGTAATTCTTTTTGGCTTACTATTTTGAATAGTAGATGGTGGCTTATAAAATATAAACATAAAAAAGCTAAATGTTAATATAGTTCCTAGAATTTGGTTACTATGAGTTTATAAAAGGAATTTTCTATTTGTTGAAAACCTGCTTTTCTGAACCATAACTTGATTTTTTGGTTTGCTTGAAAACCAGTAAATTATTTGCTAATTGATATTCACTTTAAAAACCATGAAATACATGATCAGTGTATTTCAAATGAGGAATGGATTTCTATAGGGATATTGGAATCATTTTGTTTGTTTTAGGCAAGGGCAAATGGATTAAAATCATGTGTAATTGTCCTCCGCATTCTGCGTGATTTGTGCAACAGAGTTCCTACATGGGCACCATTGAAAGGATGGGTAAGTACTTAAGTGTGATTAAAAAACAAATCTTGAAGCTATAGCAGAAGAAATACTAGAAATGTTACTACGGAATGACTATCTTCTGAGTTAGTTAAGGCATATGTTGTCTTGTTTTGACCTAGAAATTTATGCAGTTTTATGAAATCTTTTATGAACATAACTTGTCATGTCTTTGTCTTTTGTGTTTTAGACCTGGTATATGTATATCAAGATTTTAAATCTATCTATCTATCTATCTATCTATCTATCTATCTATCTATCTATCTATCTATCTATCTATCTATCTCTATATGTATCTGTCTGTCTGTATCTCTTTGTCTGTATTATTTTTATTATTTTTTTCTGACCTAAAGGTTTTATACCTTTTAGAAATGCTGTTCTTTGAACTCTGTAGTGATCATTGATCACTCATGATTACTTGCTGCCCATGATAGCCTTCTTGGCTGGTCCATTTCCTTTAGCATGTCATTCTATTTCTGTGGAGATTATCTGATAGATTATCTGATTGTCTTTTGAATTTCTTATGAAATGTAGACACAAATTCAACGTGTTAGGTTAAGTGCAATGTTACAATATATAGTTTAAAGTATGTCTGCAGTTAGGTTAAGTGCAGTGTTTGCCTGATTATTAATTACTAACTGGATTTAACATATATTGTAACATTGACTTAATTTGGAAATATTATATTTGATATAGTCAGGTCTACAATTTTAAAATTTATAAAAATAATTTAAAGTTAAAGGCTCATTCATAAAATAATGAAAGACTATAAATATTTGTACAGCTTCACAAGTTTTCAGTTTAATGAAGAGATGTGGTTTTTTTGTTTATTTTAATTATTGCTCTTGAAGCAGGTATTTGAATGACCTTTTTTTTTTGATAGTTTAGTGCTTCCTAACTTAAGTAGAACTTAGACTGGTTTGTACCTTGGTTATTTATTAGCTATTATACATGTGAAAACTTGTTAATCATAAATTAATTACATGACTAGTTTCTTTAGTTTTTAAAAAATTTTTTTCAGGGTAATTAAAAATCATAACATTTTTGTCTCATGTTTTCAGAAAAATATCTAAAATGCTTGATTTAAAAAAATGGTTGGAGTAGATAATCATGGGAGAAGAGTTAAATGGTTCTTAAATGCTAAATTGTCTATACTTTTTTGGCTTCCCTTTTAGATAGAAATGTCAGCTCACATTTAACTGGAATCCTTTTAACACTTGGTGCATGTACTAATTTGTAATTTAATATCTTCTAGCCACTAGAGCTTATATGTGAAAAGTCTATAGGTACTTGTAATAGACCTTTGGGCGCTGGGGAGGCCTTGAGACGAGTAATGGAGTGTTTGGCATCTGGAATACTACTTCCTGGTAAGGGTTTCAAACTCTCAAGGCAGAAGAATAAGAAAAATCTCATTTTAGTTAATTTATCTAGACTTATGCTAAATGTTTGTCCTCTGCAGAGGAGAATGATGTGTAGGAGTTGTATTCTTTGGAATTTCAGCAGTTAGAATGCTTGTGTGTGGAAGAGTGCTGTAAAGCTTTTCCAATAATTCTAATTTGTGTTTTGTATGTACTAACATAAAGGGTACTAATAGAAACTGTCTGCTATGAATTTGCTTCACTTAGAAGTCTGGATTGGGAAATGTAAATGCTTATTTTAAAAGTAATAAAATTCATCTTGATTGCATTCTAGTATTTAATTTAGAAAAATTAAATATAAAATCATTTAAAGTTTAGGGATGATTCATCTTGCTGTTGTAAATTCTTGGAGTAAAACTCAGTTTTTGATTTAGGTGACTTTCATATAAAATAAGGATAGTTAAGCTAACACTGCAAATGACAGAATATCCTTAGTATTTACTTAATTGAGCAGACTTTTAACTTAATTCTTCAGTTTTTTCCCCTTCTCTCTTTTGTTACTTAGCTATTTTCTAAATTTAGTTCTAAATTTTTATTTTTCCTTGCGTTTGCCAAAGGGGGTCCTGGTCTTCATGATCCTTGTGAGCGAGACCCAACAGATGCTTTGAGCTATATGACCACTCAGCAAAAAGAAGACATCACTCATAGTGCACAGGTATGAGACCAGTATATCACTGACTGTTTAGAAAGATACATAACTTTCATTTTCTGAATTGTTCTGTGTGGCTACTTTTCTTGTATCCTTAAATTAGGGAATTATACCAGTATAATATCAATACGTAATTAATGTTGAGTTAAATGTCATATAAGCTACAGTGGTTAATAAGATTATATTAAACATAATGTTTTATTCCTTAGCATGCACTTAGACTATCAGCCTTTGGCCAGATTTATAAAGTGCTGGAGATGGACCCTCTTCCATCTAGTAAGCCTTTTCAGAAGTATTCCTGGTCAGTTACTGATAAAGAAGGTGAGTATGAAAGTTATGTTTTTGTTTTTTAATTAGTAGTGGTGGTGTGTACCTTGTTTAGGGAACTTAACCTTAAACTTGACTTCATCCAGGTCACTGCTTTTCTTAGTTGGCTTCTGTCCACACATCAGTGGCGTTAGCCGGCTGTCTCATTTCTTATTAGTGATCAGCTCATTCCTGTGTTGCTAGATTTTGTTACTACATAGACTTAAAGACCATACTTTAGGCTTCTGGTCTACGGAGAGGAGATAAACCATATACTAAGAAGGGACGTTGTCTTTGTAACTGGGCAATATGGTAAACTTCCTGAAGCTTGCAGGTGATTTGTAGGAAGATAGAAAGGAAAGAAGGAAAGAAAGAAGAAAGAAACAAAAAATACATGGGATGAGAAAAATGTATTAGAAAATTCGTGACCAACTTTCATTTGCACTCATTGTGTGGCTGTATTTATTGTTGTGTGACAAAACTTCCCGGGTAGATGAAATGAACTCCACTTCTTACCCCAGATAGGGAGCCCATGGCAAACCAAAGTACAGATACCACCGAAGTCCAGCTTTGTGAACCATGAGTTTATTGGGGTTACTTATGTTAATGTGGGCGAACAGCTATTTACTTATAGGATCAGAAATGACTCACAGGCATCTGTATCACCAAGGCCCACCCCAGCACAGGTGGCAGCTCATAAAAAGCTGAGAAACCTGGAGCATGCTACACAGCCTGCAGGCAGCTCAACAGGTTGGAGTTGGTCTAGGTGCTTCAGTTTTTCTAAATCTCCAGGTAGTTCTTCTTGTCTGAGAGTCTTCTTTATAGCTGGGTTCTGCTTACCCTGGCAGGGAAGGAGCCCAGTGAATCTAGTATGATCAGTTTCAGGGAGTAATTGAAGCTAATACTTTGTTGTTGTTCACCTCCCTGCTTAAGGACCTTCCTGGCAGGATGGAATTTTTTAATCTTGGAGGAGACTCTTAAACTCACCTACTCTGATTAGGGTATCAGTAGAAAAATGGCCAATTTCAGTAGTGGGATCCTAATTACAGGTCTATTATGTACTAGTTTGGGGCCTTAACAATTTCTTTGTCAGTAGAGATACTGCCATTCTTGATTTACTTTTTTAAAGACTGTTATCAGTTAAAATGTCTGACTTGGGGCCTGGAAGAGAACACATACTCAAATGAATTTATTTACTCTGTGCGCCCTCACTGTTCCCCAGAAAACATTTCATGTTTTTCTGTCTTCCTATCAGTCATAAGAAAAGCGGTTATTTGGTATTAGATCTTTCTTATGCAAGATATAGCCTACCTCCTACAATTGATGTTATTATAATAATTTTGATGTTACAAAGATAGTACAGATACTCAGTATATGTATTTAGACAACATATTATAGTATGTCTGAGTCCACAAGAGCAAAATTGTTGCTTAGCTAGCTGTAGTAGCACAAGACTGTAATCCCAGTATTTGCAAGGCCTTTAGGCAAGTGCTTTAAGAGTTTGAAGCCAGCTGTGCTATATAGCAAGACCTTGTCTTCAAAAACAAACAACAAAATACAAAGCTGTTAATGTAAAAATAATAACACTTTTGAGGGGAAGGGTGTTTTTTAATGCCTTATATGAAAAGACAGCTTCCCAGCTGTCTTTTGTCTATCATGATCCTATGATATCCCTGGAATGCTACTGGATATGCTCTTTGGTTTTCTGTTTTTAATTCCTCTGTTTCAGTTTCTATTAGACTACATATGGACAGGTAATACGCAGCGCTGGTCCTCAGCAACTCCTTAAGCACACTGAGTAGTCCTGAGCTAAGAAGTATGAGAATCACTGATTGGTATTCTAAGTTCTTGAGGAAAGTGCTCAGTACAGTCTGTAGGAGGAAAGCACTTGATTCTTTCTTTGTTGGTGATAGTACCAAAAAAGACATGTCTATGTGACACTGAACATTCTCCATACACTGAATGAGTGAATGAAAAGTTTAAATAATGGGCTGGAGAGATGGCTTAGAGGTTAAGAGCATTGGCTGGTCTTCCAGAGGTCCTGAGTTTAATTCCCAGCAACCACATGACAGCTCATAACTATCAATAATGAGATCTGCTGCCCTCTTCTGGCCCACAGGCATACATGCAGTCAGAAGACTGTATCATATTAAGAAATAAATAAATCTTAAAAATACTTAAATGTTATTTATGATTAATAACAAGTTTTTATTCTAGTCACTTAATTCATAGTAGTAGTACTCTCCTTCCAGTAGGTAGTAAAACTATGTATATTGTTATGTTACTTAGGATTTAAAAACATTTTTAAATGTGAAGAGTTTAGTCAGAATTTGAGATCTGCATGTTTGTCAACACACAGCATAAAACAGAACCAGAGAAACAGTTTGTATCTTAGCTGTCAGTTCCTAGCTGTATTACTAGTTAACCATTTTGTGTTTTGGTTGAAAGATGATCTCCCTCACATTTTGATGCTTTTATCACCAGGCTTCCTGACATTTACATTTAAGTTTGTTCCTATAATTCCCTTTTTCTTTCGCATGCAGTATTTTTTAAATAGTGTTTTTATGACTTCTTTGGGAATTTTATAGAATGTAGTTTGATCCTATCCATTCCACTCCAGATTTAGATCTTCCCTCTCTTCCCTACCCACCCAACCTGATGGTTTCTTTCTCGCATGTTTTTTCTCTCTCTGTCCCTTCCTTCTTGTCTCCTTCCTTTTTTCCCCTCTCTCTTTCCTCCTGTCTTCCCCTCTTCCTGTCTCCATCAAGTCCAGTTTGTATTGGGCAACCACTTCTGGGCATATGGGGCTTGCACAGGAGTGTGGTTTATATACCAGGTGTGGCACCATTAAAGAAAACTGACTTTTCCTTGTCCAGCAGCAGTCAGTTGCCAATAGGGGTGGGACTTCATGCATCCCTCTTCTCCTCCATACTGGGATTTTGTGTGGCTTGATCCTGTTTGTTTAGGTCTTATCCATTTGTCACAATCCCTGTGATTCCATATGTCATTTTCCTATTGTAGCTAGGAGATTGTCTTTGAAGCCACCCACTACTTTCAGCTGTAATCTTTCCACCCTGTTTTCTACACAAATCTCTGAACCTTGAGGGAGGGTTCTGTTAATAGACATTTTAGGGCTGAGAATTCTAAAGTCTATGTCTGTTGACCAGTTGCATGTCTCTGTTTCTTGCTTTGTGTATTGCAAGAAAAAGCTTCTGTGGTAAGATTTGAGCAGTGCACTGATCTATGGGTATAACTGTAAGTCATTAGAAGTTGTTTTAGTACTCTGTCCGTTTAGCAGAATAATAGTAGTAGGGCTTGTGGCCTGTCTAGCCACAGGTTCTTTGCCTTGTTGACAGTGTCAACTCTTGGTTCCATTTTGTAAAGAGTGGCCTTCTATTGAATTTTTATTTTTATTATTTTTTAATCATTTAAAATTTTTTTATTAAATTTTATTTTTTATATTAATTACAGTTTATTCACTTTGTATCCCAGCTGTAGCCCCCTCCCTCCCAATTCCATCCTCCCTCTTCTCCTCCCATGCTCTTCTCCCAGTTTACTTATATGAGAGGTCCTTCTCCCCTTCCATCTGACCCTAGCCTATCAGGTCTCATCAGGACTGGTTGCACTGTCTTCCTCTGTGGCCTGGTAAAGCTGCTCCCCCATCAGGGTGAGGTGGTCAAAGAGCCAGCCACTGAGTTCATGTCAGAGACAGTTCCTGTTCCCCTTACTAGAGAACCCACTTGGATACTGAGCTGTCATGGGCTATATCTGGGCAGAGGTTCTATGTTATCTCCATGCATGGTCCTTGGTTGGAGTATCAGTCTCAGGAAAGACCCCTGTGCTCAGATTTTTTGGTTCTGTTGCTCTCCTTATGGAACTCCTGTTGTCTCTAGGTCTTACTATCTCCCCCTTCTTTGATAAGATTCCCTACACTCTGCCTAAAGTTTAGTTATGAGTCTCTCAGCATCTGCTTTGATACCCTGCTGGGTAGAGTCTTTCAGAGGCCCTCTGTGGTAGGCTCCTGTCCTGTTTCCTATTTTCTCCTTCTTCCAGTGTCCATCCTGTTTGTCTTTCTGAGTGAGGATTGATTATCTTACCCTGGGTCCTCCTCCTTGCTTAGTTTCTTTAGGTGTAAAGATTTTAGTATGTTTATCCTATATTATATGTCTACTATCCAGTTAAAAGTGGGTATATATTGTGTGTGTCTTTCTGCTTCTGGGATACCTCACTCAGGATGACCTCTTCTAGATCCCACCATTTGCCTGCAAATTTCATGATTTCCTTATTTTTAATAGCTGAGTAGTATTCCATTGTGTAAATGTACCACAATTTCTGTATTAATTCCTCCATTGAGGGACATCTGGGTTGTTTCCAGGTTCTGGCTATTAGAAATAAAGCAGCTATGAACATGGTTGAGCAAATGTCCTTGTTGTGTACTTGAGTATCTTTTGGATATATGCCTAGGAGTGGTATAGCTGGATATTGAGGAAACGCTATTCCTAATTGTCTGAGAAAGCGCCAGATTGATTTCCAAAGCAGTTGTACAAGTTTACATTCCCACCAGCAATGGAGGAGGATTCCCCTTTCTCCACATCCTCTCCAGCATGTATTGTCACTTGAGTTTTTGATCTTAGCCATTCTGATGGGTGTAAGGTAAAATCTTAGGGACTTCAGACGTATCTTTCTTATGAGCATTGATGCAGAAATACTCAATAAAATACTTGCATACCAAATCCAAGAACACATAAAAGATATCATCTACCATGACCAAGTAGGCTTCATCCCAGGCATGCAGGGGTGGTTCAATATACGGAAATCCATCAATGTAATCCATCGTATAAACAAACTGAAGGAGAAAAAAAAAAAAAAACACATGATTATCTCCTTAGATGCCGAAAAAGAATTTGACAAAACCCAACAGCCATTCATGTTTAAAATCTTGGAGAGATCAGGGATATAAGGCACATACCTAACCATAGTAAAGACAATATACAGCAGTCCTATAACCCAACATC